CAAAGAAACCCCGTTTTGAAAAAAAAAAAAAAAAAAAAGGCCCCTATAGGCCCATAGAGAGTGGCACTATCAGGAGGTGTGGTCTTGGAGGAGGAAGTGTGTCACTGGGGGTGGGCTTTGAGGTCTCAAATGCTCTGACCAGGCCCAATGTAGCATTCTCTTCCTGCTGCCTTCAGATCCAGATGTAGAACTCAGCTACCTCTCCAGCACCATGTCTGCCCGTGTGCTGCCATTTTCCTGCCATGATGATATAATGGACTAAACTTCCAAACTGTAAGCCAGCCCCAATTACATGTTTTCCTTTATAAGAGCTGCTTTGGTTATGGTGTCTCTTCATAGCAATAGAAACACTAAGACACCGTGTGTATGGTAAAATCCGATCATCTTGCTTCCTGACTGCTGGGCCAGTCACTGGCTATTGATACCAAGCTTCCCCACCATAATGGACTCCAAGCCAAAATCCCTTCTGGATGTGTAAACCAAAATAAATTCTTCATTACGTTGTTTTTGTTGGGGTACTCTTATCACAAGAGAAAAGTAAGAAACATGGAGAAGACTAGCAAGAAAAATCTACGTATACTCAGTTACAGATGCAAATATGTTTCCTTTTTTGAGACAGGGTCTATGTAGCCCAGACTGGCTTGAAACTTGGAATCTTCCTTCATCAGCCTGCTCAGTGCTGGGGCTACAGGTGTGTGCCATTGCAAGCTTTACAGGTGCAATGGGGGAGGCTGGTGAGACAGCTCAGCAGGTAAAGGCACTTGCTACCAAGTCTCGCGTGACCCAAGCTTGATCGCTGTGTCCACATGGTAGAAGAAAGAACTGACTCCCACAGGTTGGTCCTCTGGTTTTCACACCAGTGCTGTGCTGTGTACATGCATTCCCAAATACACAAACTATGAAAAGATAGTAAGTCTCTTTGTCTATGAATGCAAAACGTGTGAACTGGGGAAGACTGGCTATATTATTCTTATTTAGTTTATATACGTATACTTTGATGCCTTCTTTTGTCTCTCCACCCTCCACTTATTATTTTTTTTTAAGTATCATGCATGTACCATGGTGTAGCTGTGGAGGTTAGAGGGCAACTCTGTGGAGTCAGTTCTCTACCTTTACATGGGTTCTGTTGATTATACTTAGGTTATCACGGTAACCTCAGAATCTCCTTTTTGTTGTACCCTTATTTTTATATTTTTCTTTTTTGAGGTAGGATATCTCCTACTGAACCTGGAGCTTGCTATTTCAGCTGGACTAGCCGACCTGTGAGCCTTCACAGGATCCACTTGTCTTTGTCATCCCAAGGGTGGGATCACACATATGAATATCACATCCTGCTTCTTTTTTTTTTTTTTTTTTTTTTTTTTTTTTTTTTAAA